CCCTGCAGCCTGCTTAGCCGGCAGAGTGTATGCATACTGGAATTCGACTTATTAGGATCGAATCCTCATACATTTGTGGAGATGGTTGCGCTCGTAAGCAAGCTAAAGCGTGGAAAAGAAACGTCAAAGTATTTTGACCATGCGGTTGCCAAGTAACTAAGCCTTCCCGAATAGGTCATCTGACGGAAGGATCGCAGCAGCACCGACATGGCGCCGCACGCAGGTTGCATTCCTGGGGGCGGAGGATCCTGGTGTCTTTCCCCAGGGTGACGAAAGAAGAGAGGGATAAATTATATAAATCAAAGCAAGTAACGTTAATGTATCTTTCCCCTTGCTTTCCACAAGCCTCGTCCCGATCTAAGAAGGAGGAACAGTGATCATCCCGCATACAAGGGCTTTGGTCGTCATTAGAAGCCAAACACTTCGCGCGCAATCTGCAATCCAAACATTAGTCGACGTTGGTCAGCATTCAAAGCGGGACCAGATGCGAAAACAGCAGTACATTCGATTGGGTTGTCAGAAGGCACGAGGACTATCAAGGGCAAAACGTGCTCACATTCCAAATCAAAGATGCCATTGACGTCTGGAACGCTGTTGTTCCTGATAATGCTCATAACTACTTCGTTGAGCGCATTCTTTGGGATGCCTACATTGTCCCAGGGCATTTAATACGCGACTTTGAGCAGTGTTTCTGCAGCCGATCAACAAGCGAATGGTACCGTGGCTAATGGCTACGGGTGCTTGACATTGGTGGTTACGAAATCCGGCTACGCTTACACTGTCGGAACCAGGACAACATCGTCGTCAGATTACGCCCAAGTGTTCTTCCTTGCGCTTAATGACTACTACAACTCACTTCCTGCAGACCAGATCGTGAACAGCGCTAGCTACAGGGTAGAGAGAGACTACGGCCAAGCCAGGGCGGCCATTGATACCCAATTTTCAGCTTGATACGTATCACTACCATCAAAGTAGCGCTGTCGGCGCTCAAGAGAGCCATGGGATTGATTATACTCAGCATCAACCATCAACGTCAAGTACACGGTTATGCAGCATTAGATAGGGCTAGGAGCGACGGTTATACATCGATATCGCTACTAGGAGGTATCCTGGAAGTCGCCTTGCCGCTTAACAGAAATTCGCATTATGAATTGAGGAGAGACGAGAGCGGGGACATGCTGACGTACCAAACGTGCATTGGGAAGGTTGGTGGAGACTCAGTTAGCGACTGGGCTGGTAGGAAGGTACAATACGACGGCAACTGCTTCTGCAACAAGACCCTTGACGAAAGATGTCCTTACAACGCGGAGACCAAATGTTCAGGGCTCTAGTTGAGCGATGGGATGCAAAAAAGTCGTGCTACGCTCAGGAACTCTCAGAACTGCTACAAGAACAAAAAGTACACAAAAGAAGAATTGGGCTCGAAGGTTGTGTCGTTTCAGAATGTGTTCAGGAAATGAAAAGGGTTACATACATAAATCGAAGAACGCAAAGTCATGTAATCTGTACCCACTTGTCTCAAGTGTGTTTGTGACCCTTGGAGAGAGGAAAGAGGTCTGATTACAATTCGCAAATGACGCAAAAGAACGGTTAATCTGTTCTGGAACTCTTTACGCAATTAGGAGAGCAGAGTCGCATCCCTGATTTATGGATGGGCCCCACTCTAGTCGACAAGTCAGAGAAAAGCTGCTTCAGGAGCATACTTCCTCCGCCGATTTAATGACGTCCTATGCTTCTGTCATATCTATGACTCATCCTGCCTGGACTCTCTTTTTTGCCTTCTTAACTTCTCCTCATCGAGCAAGGTCTTTGTGATTCAATTCCGCGTCTTCTTGTATGGTAACCACAACATGCAAAGTTATGTTCTGATGCTCCTGCAAGATGGAATTGGGTGCTAGGAAAAGAAATTGCAGTTCTTTCACAGAAGCCATCTGTAACTCGACTCGAGTTCACATTGTCTTACTATTTTTCGCCTTCTAATGAGTTTTCTCCTGTTGCCAAAGGCCGCGAGGCTTCTGCTGCTGAAGGGTGCTAAAGGTAAATTACTCGCCTTGTGCCTGGCATCCAAGGGCAATGCTGAACCGGACCTTCCGCCCAAATCGTCGCTAACATGCTGGATTTCGTGGATTACAAGGTACAGAGGATCTGGAACACTTACACCGTTATCTCTGGCCATGTGGCCGATGAAATCGTCATACTCGATAACCACCGCGATGCGTGGACGTTCGGGCATGGTCGATCCTTCCTCCAACAATGTTTTCTTTGAAGAAATCACCAAGGCATTCGGTGAGATGCTCACAAAGGGTGGAAGTTGTTGAGGACGATCATGATTGCTTCGTGGAATGCGGAAGAATTCAGACTGTTCAGCTCCAGGGAGCATGTGGAAGATTTCCCAAATTCGATTCGGGAGAATGTCGTCATGTGCCTCAATTTGCACGTGGCAGTTGCCGGCTTGAAGTTCCAAGGAAAGGCTTCGCCTAGCTTGGCGGACCTACTTGTCGATGTAGCTGATAAAGTCTATGATCCTGATAGTCCTCTTGGCGCCAATAAGAAGCTGGAATACCCGAGAGGTTATGCACTAGGTAGCAGTGGTGATTACACGAGCTATCTCCAGCATTTGCACATCGCCTCTGCCGATACGGGTTTAAGCAGAAAGGAGACAGAGGTGACATACCATTACTATTCGCAGTATAATTCTTTCATGGCTTTTTCATCAAATTCTTTCTTGAAGCAGCTTCTAACCGCCCGCCTATATTGCGATCTTAACATGGAACTGGATGGACAACTTCAGTGTCCCAAACTGGGTGCGCCATGTGGTCACTGCCAATGTCTTCGGTCTTGCAGCTCTTCAAAGTGCTTCCAACCTGTTCGTACCAATCAACATCACAGCTTACGGCGAAGAGCTCGGCTGATATGTGTACAAGGTTGAATCAATCGCAGCAAGGATGCAAGATGAGCTCGCAGAGAACCAGAATTTGCACCTTTGAATGAAGATATTGAGTGGATCGCTGATCAGGCTTTTGCTCTTAATGCCAACAAAGAGCACCTCACTATGCGCTTACGCAAGGTTCTAGAACGCGTTCAAGAGATTCATGAAATGGAGGTACGTGCTGATAAGGCCAACAACAAACTCTGTCATGGCCGCAAAGCCCGCAGAGAGCTTGCGCAAGATCATTGCGTAAGTTCGTAAGATGAATGCAAGAGTAACACAATTCGAACAAGGTATTATCTCGGAAGGTCTGGTTGGTCGAGCATGGTAAAAGCATATGGGTGTCATCCCTGGTCGATACATCAGATATGGGACCTTGTTGATCTTCGACAGCAAAATCAACATCGAGTAGTTCAGCCCATCGCTGGACGGCGTAGGTGGCCGTGATACGATCGCTGGTCGAAGGGCCGACATGCACGTAGTTAATGTAGCATTTTCTGGATTCACGAGCACTTTTAGCAGATGGAATGGAGAGGAAGACTGATTCATATACTTGAGTCAAGTTGGAGTCAGACAAAGTTGTAGACGGTGATCTTGCGATGGACATGTCGATCGTTGTTACTAAAGTCGATTTCGCCGCGAGAAGTTGCATTTTCCTCAAAATATAGCTTTCCTTGCTTTTGCAGTCCTGTAGAGTGAATAAGGCATGACCAGTAGCCATACTCCATTAGCTGCCTCCTTTGAAATGAATGTGTTGCCACCGTAACCGTTGCCTGAGTGTGAGCCATACAATCTTTTCAGCCATGCCCAAGCATTCGACTGTGCGGAGATGCCAGACTGAAGTGACCCAGACGTCAGCTCTTCTGCCACCTTTGAGAGAGCTGCCGATGAGTAAATGGCAACAAATACTGGGATAGCACAAGGGTTACCAGTCTGACAAGTCGATACCGGTATTTTCATTGTTTTGCGAGGCGATCAAAGCATTCCTAGTGCGGTGTTTCGCCATCTTCCTCGAAAGCAAGACTGGCGTAGGTGTATATCAGCTCTTCACTTGCTTAAAGCTCAAAGCTTTCTTCTCGCCGATCATCTTGAAGTGAAGGGCTGGTTGACATAGCGTTCTTGCGGGAGCCTATAGTCGCATGCGGTTCCCCACTCTTCGTATAGCTTTAGACTGGATGATCAAGTGTCTCACTCGCAAGCTTACATCAATTTCTGGTGCATTCGGCTATGCCCGCAGTTGACCAGGCTCAAATACAATGATCAACTTGTCCGGAGCGCACGTTTGTTACAAAGAACGTGAACAAAGGGTGCCATGTAATACAGTAATTGAGACAGATCCAGCGCAACGAAACCTGAAGCTCGGCCCGCTTGATCTGGTATTCATTACTTTAGCCACGCCACCACCTGCGACCGACCGATACATCCGAATCAATTGCGAGCGTACTGATTGCGATCAGTCGCTGCAACGTGCAGAAGGAAGTCTCAATAATACTCGATATGAACTGTATAAGGTGATACCGTTGTACACTCAGAGTCTTACGAGCACCAGCCCAGTGTGGGGAAGTGAAGCAGCGAGCTTGGGTGGCACGGTCGTGCAAATCAAGCACCGATCGAGCGCTACGGTGTACAATGTCTTTTCCAACGCCATTCTCCAGGACATGTTGCAATGCGAACACCGATAAACTTAAATTTTGATATACAACAATGACTCAGAAACATGCCCATGATGTTACAGCAGTCGCAATTCCTGAGCAACGAGCAGACGTCCGCTCTCATATTTGAAGCCTGCCGGCTATCTTGTTGAGCGAAACCGCAAGCCTTTCAACTTCTTTTTGCGTTCCTTTGCCACCATCGAGTGTAATGCTCTCCGTCGCACCTGGTAGAGTGGCAGAGCCAT